GAGTCGAGTGAGAGGAGGTGGGGGGGAGGCAGAAGGAGGCAGGAGGCGAAGGCTGGAGCAGGAGGAGGTATCAGCTCACGAGTGTCTTTGACAGCTTTGCTGAAGGTCTGCGGATCCGTTTCCAGCTCCTGCACAGCTGCCTCCTGCACCTGCGCTCAGTGCTTCTCCTCCCTGCCCCTTCCCTCCTCGTCCTCATGCTCGCCCTCTCCCTCTCCTCGGTGTTCCGTCTTCACAAACTCATCCCTTCCCCTCTCCCCCTCCTCTCCTCCTTCATGCTTGCCTGACTCTCGGGTTCGTTGGGCTTCAGCTGCATCCTCAACCCCATGTTACTCCTCCTGCGTCAAAGGTCAGCCATCTCCCCCCCCTCCTCTCCTCCCACTTGAAGCAAGCAGCCTGCGGTTGGAGCGCGAGGGGTCGGGGAGCGAGGACGGGGAGCGCAGTGGCCGTCCTGACCCCTGCCACCTCCGTCATCTCCACCGCTCAAGCATCGCAAACCTTGTCGCACCTCTGCCCCCAACGAGCATGGAAGGCATGAAAGCAGACGACGACGCGATCGTCATGGCGAGAAAGACGATACGGATCATGATGGCGGGGATGGAGGCGTTGGTGCTGAGCTCGTTGCGACGGGGGTGACGAAGGATGCGATCAGAAGCTATCGCGATGAGAGCTGCGACACACACGCCACGTCAACGAGTGCGAGCGTAAGCGGAGAGCGATGAGGAGGAGGCAGATCCACAGGCAGAAAGAGCAAGCACGGTGAGAAACAGGGGGAGCAGATAGAGGAGGACGAATGGGAGCAGCTGCAAGAACCTGTCAAGCTCGGTGTTCACTCCTGATCAATGTTCTACTGTATCGAGGACATGCTAGAGTTCGTCTCTGGAGCCGAGCACGCTGACAAAGAGGGACGGTCAGATGCAGCAGACAAAGGATCTTCCTCTTCCTTCCATCCCTCAGACAAGAAGCAGTGTTTTCGCAAGAGCTCTGATCTACAACCTGACACATTGATCCAAGCTGCAAGGACCAGCTGACCTCATCCCGTTACTTCTAGTTGTTCCCTTGGCATCTTCTGTGCATATCCCTGATCATATTCGGCACGGCTTCAAAGGAGCAGCTTTGCCTTCCCGTTAGCCTCTTGCCACATAGCAGCATATCGTCTCGTAAGCGTGCGATTCTAGCGCCCTTCCTATCCCAACACCTGCCTCTGACTTGCTGCTTCATTCCTTCTCAGCCTCTGTCTGCTCCTCCTCTGTTCTCTTGCCTCTGCTTCTCCTCTTTCCTCCTCATCATCGTCCCTGCTCCTTGTTCCCCTCCTTCCCGCTCATCAACAGCGCCTGTCAGGCATGGCGGCTGAATTCATTCCTTACATCACCCCCCTAGTTTTAGACTTCAGGAGTCACTTCAAAAGCAGTTAAAATTGATCTGTATCTTTGAATATTGAGAGTAATATTTGGATCCTAGGGGATGGAATGCAAACTTAATTTTATGTGTTCCCATTAGTACCATGGGCTGACGGCCTCCTTCTACCAAAATTAAATTTAATAATTAAAATGCTACTAGATTTATTTTAATTTCTGTTTCAGCCACTATTGTGCTGTGACCCATAAATTTATTTCTCCTACTATTCTATAATATCTAAAACTGACTCCAATACCATGTCACCGGATTATATAAAGGATTAGATACAGTTGTATGACAGATTTTACACCTCAGCCAGTGTACGGTGGCCCGGCCCGGCGGGCCCACGCTGCCGGGCCCGCCGATCGGAATCGCCGGAGCCGGGCCCGCCGCCGCCGAGCCGGGCCCGGAGCCGCCGAGCCTATCACCAGCCGCTGAGCGCCTCACTGGTCTCATCGACGCGGGTGGTGTTCGAGGCCCCCGTCCCGCAGGCTGGGGCCCGCGGCCCCAGCTGAGCGCCGACCGTACCGCCCGGCCGTGTACGGTGACCCGGCCGGCCGGGGCCACTCACGGGGGCCGGGGCGGGCCGCCCCCGGCCCAGCACTACGCAGGGGGCTACAGTGACCGTACTGAGTGACTGCCGGGCTAGTACTGTCGGAGTGACCAGCCTTGAGTGACACCGTGCCCCGCCGGGATGATGACCGATCCGATCATCGGCCAGCCTAGTACTCACAGAGTCATTGACTACCGGCGGGTACCGTCAATCGGACTGCCGGCCGGGCCGCTGACTCTCACTGTCACTGCCAGTGAGTCAGACGGTCACTCGGAGGCGGCCCCGGGACTCATCATGGCTTGGCGAGTCAGAACTTCCGGCGAGACGCCCGGGGTGTCTCCGGACTTCAAGGCTTGGAACCGTGTCGGACTAAGTCGGAACGCACGCCGATGTTCCCGGAGTCCGAAGTTCATTGAAGTTGGGCTGCGGGACAAACGGCTTACACATTGAAGCGGCGGCCAGTGATCGCAGCAGCCGAGACGCGGATGAAACCGGGGTCCGACGATCTCAGTCAGAGGAGGAAGTAGCCTGAGGCTCGACTTGAATGTCCGATGAGTCATCATTTGCTTCCTCTTCGTCTCCAAAGTGAGAGGTGAGCTCGTATGACTCTCCCGCACTTGCCTGCACCTCGTCGAAGACGTCTGCCTTCATGTGGAACAACTTCGCGACCTCTGTGAAGAACCTGATCACCTTGTCTCCTGCTTCTGAAGATACAAATACTAGCGGCACTTGTCCGCCTCGTGCCCTCAGCTCGAACAACCCGTACATCTCCATCTCCTTGTCCCAGGCAGGTAACATAAGGTCGTCTGGCAACCCGAGCTGTTTCCATAATGCCTGCCGGTACTGATGGTCGCGCCCCAAGATCTTATACGCGTATTCAATTCTATAGGGCCGAGTGCTTGACGTCAAAATCTCCATGTCGTGCTTGGGCAAGTTCTTGATCGCAGATCGGAGCTCCGGCGAGATGTCTCTGTTGCCCGAGACAGTGATCTCGCACACTTTAGAGAGAAAGCTCTCAATCAGATACCTGTGTGAGTGCAATATCATCCTGCACATGTCAAGCAGATTGATGCTGACCTTTGAGTTAAGTCGGACAGCTGACGCTTGTAGTAATGGACTAGCTGCTCACACCGCTGTATCTTCAGTTGCATCTCTGCCTCTGCCTGGAATGTTTGTTGCGATGCGTTCAATTCCACTATGTTTGCCTCCTGTTCCAAAGCCTGCAACTGATAAGTTTCGTACGTATTCTCCTTCTGAGGAGTCTCGGTATCCTTCTGAGGAGTCTCGATATCCTTCTGAGGAGTCTCGGTATCCTTCTGAGGAGTCTCGGTATTCTTCTGAGGAGTCTCGGTATTCTTCTGAGGAGTCTCGGTATTCTTCTGAGGAGTCTCGGTATCCTTCTGAGGAGTCTCGGTATTCTCCTTGTGAGGCTGAGTCTCAGCATTCCTCATCATCTCTCTCTCCATTTCCTTCAGGGCCCATTTGTATTCCATCTCCCTCTCCATGTCTCTCGTACTCATACGCAAGGCAAGGAGATAGGCACTCGTCTGATCGGGAGCATCGTCCCCAATGATCTCGCGCGCCTCTTTGAGGTATGATAAAGCTTCGTCCCTGACTTTGTCCACGCCAGTTCTGAAGGCTCGCAAACCCAAGGGAGGGCCTGAGGAGGGGCCTGGAAAGAATCTGAGATGCAGCCTATGCCCTAAGACAATGCTGACAGCGGAAAAAAGAGAGGGGGAGAGACACAGAGACACAGAGAGGAAGCACTGCAAATAAAGAGCAGAGAGGCAGAGGAACAGGCACAAGGAGAATATGAGCTCACGAGTGTCTTTGTCCGTTTCCAGCTCCTGTACCTTCAGTCAGTTTTTATCCTTTCTGCCCTCGCCTTGATCTCCCTCTATCTCCCCCCTCACTCTGTCCCTTCTCCTCTCCCCCTCCTCTCCTCCTTCATGCTTGCCTGACTCTCGGGTTCGTTGGGCTTCAGCTGCATCCTCAACCCCATGTTACTCCTCCTGCGTCAAAGGTCAGCCATCTCCCCCCCCTCCTCTCCTCCCACTTGAAGCAAGCAGCCTGCGGTTGGAGCGCGAGGGGTCGGGGAGCGAGGACGGGGAGCGCAGTGGCCGTCCTGACCCCTGCCACCTCCGTCATCTCCACCGCTCAAGCATCGCAAACCTTGTCGCACCTCTGCCCCACACGAGCATGGAAGGCATGAAAACGGACGACGACGCGATCGTCATGGCGAGAAAGGCGTTACGGATAATGATGGCGGGGATGGAGGCGTTGGTGCTGAGCTCGTTGCGACGGGGGTGACGAAGGATGCGATCAGAAGCTATCGCGATGAGAGCTGCGACACAACGAGTGCGAGCGTAAGCGGAGAGCGATGAGGAGGAGGACAGTGTTTTCGCAAGAGCTCTGATCTACAACCTGACGCACTGATCCATGGCTAAAAGGACCAGCTGACCTGATTCCACTACTTGTTGTTGTTCTCTTGGCACCTTGTGTGCATATGATTTCTGATCTCGTTCGGCACCGTGACGGCTTCAAGGGACCAACTTTCCTCATTCTACAACCTAGTGTCTGATCTCTTCCCTCCTATCCCAACAACTGCCTCTGCCTTGCCGCTTCATTCCTTGTCAGCCTCTGTCTGCTCCCTTAAAGTCCTTCCTCCTGCCTCTGCTTCTCCTCTGCGTTGGTACGGTATCAGACTTTCAGGAGCAAGTCAAAGAAGATTGAAGCATTATGTATAACTTTGAAGAATGAGCACAAACATTTGGAACAAGGGGTCAAATTGACACTGAACTTGAGAAAATAAGATCCTACCAGAGCCTATCAGAGCCTATCAGAGCCTATCAGAGCCTATCAGAGCCTATCAGAGCCTATCAGATCCTATCAGAGCCTATCAGAGCCTATCAGAGCCTATCAGAGCCTATCAGATCCTATCAGAGCCTATCAGAGCCTATCAGAGCCTATCAGAGCCTATCAGAGCCTATATAATCGAATCAACCTCCACCTCACTGGCCAGAATCTATTTAACCCAAGATCCACCAAAGACTAACTCTCAGTACACCTGAGATCCTCACACCAACCTTATTCACCTCAACGATACACAGCTGTGCAGTCTCTAACACCTTCACTGATGGTGATAGAACTCTCAGAAGAACCACACAACACTTCCTTTATTCACAGCAGTCACCTTCCCTTCAGTCCCTTGCAACCCAGTACAATGCACAGCGCGCAGTGGACATGAGTCCTCCTAACCCCCTCTTCTCCGCCTGACCCTCAGGCTCGTCGATTCCTTAATTACAGACCTATGTCGAAACCCACTTCCATCTCGCTG